ATGAAAAATCGATTTGCCAGCTGAGAACTTTGTTGACTGTTTACAAGATTTACCCTTCTAACTCTGCACCCTGGTTTCTCAGCCCACAGTACTGGAGTTAGAGTTTGCAGCCTTCTGAGAGAACAAATGGGACTCCTTTTAATTTGGCCTTATCATCATTATCACCACCAGATTCCCAAAGGTATCTTAAAACCAGAACAAGGTAAGAGGCTTTCTAACACAGGACTGTTAATTCTGCCCAGGATAGCTGTGAGTGGAACACAAGACTGTTGATTCTGTCCAGGATAGCTGTGAGAAGATCCTGATTGCAGAGGACTTCAAGGTAAACTTCTTCACCAATTGAACTTTCATTCTCCTTATCTTACTTCAACTTATAAGGACCCCTAACATCCAAACAAGGAACAGATTCTCTTTTCTTTTTGAGACAGGGTCTCATGTAGCCCAGGTTGGTCTTGAACATGCTACAAATCTGAAGCTATCCTTGAATGTTAGTCCTCCTGCCTCCACTTCCAGGTGTGAGCCACTGCTTTGAGCTCAAAAGAACAATTCTCACTGTAATGTACCCAAATTCCATCAAAATGTTCCTAGTTCCTGATCCATTGTTAATCAGGTCATGGCTTAATGCTGTGAATACATTAGGAACATGCTGAAAACATGAATTCTTAATTCCTAAAGTAGCTTTCAAAATCTGCAAATGAAGCCTTCACAGACAGATATATTCATGAAAGATGATACAAGGAGGGAATAAAGAATCACAAAATCTAAGACTTAGGAAGAAATTCAACTCTTGCTGATTGTTATTTTGTCTCTCATCTACTTCTCACATTATTATTCTTTCCCCATCAAATAATCCCTTAATTGTTACCTGAAGAGCACTAATGATAAGAAATTTAATACCATTGAAGATATTTGCTCCAATGGTATAATCACTAAACTCTGAAGTTTATTATTAAAGTTGGCCAACGTCTTCTTTTCAGCTAGATTGCTACAGAAATCTGATCACTCCAACTCTGTCTAGGTTGGCTTTTGCACATTTTGGGCAGCTTCAGACTCTGTCTCTTTTCATATAGAATGGAGACAGCATTGGGTTGCTTGTCCACAGTCTCTCATACTAGTCATACTAATAACACCACTAGAAAAATTAAGGAAACAATGTGAATATTTGCTCAGTTGTGTCTTTGAGGGTATGGAGATGGCTGAAAGTACCATAGATTCTAAATAAACCACCTCCTGGACTATTTGACTACCCACTGCATGGAGGAGCCAAGAATGATATGGGGTAGAAGTGTGGTGGGAGGGCAAGAGTAAGAGAGAGGGATCAGGATTAGCAGATAAAATAACCAGTTAGCACAGAAACCCTCTCCCCTGAAGGATACACACAGCCTAACAGGGAATGTGCTAGCTAAGCCCCTGGGAATAAGAAGGTAGTTATGCAAATGCCTTATAAAGGAACATGACCTTGAGGCCAGTCCCAGCCCACCAGCCTGCTGCCCTGTTCAGGACTGCCTTTCTCCATTTTAATAAGCTGTCTATTTACACCACTATGCCTGTGTCTCCGGCCCAATTCTCTGTTCCAGCATACAACAACCCTGAAATCCCAGTGACTGTCTTCTAGGATGGGATCCACAACTCTAACAGAATGACTCTCTGTGTCAAGAGCCTCTCCTGTTAGTTAGCCTAAGAAGCCATGCTGCACAGCTGAGCTTTCACACGTCCTGAGACCTACACAACCAACACTTGGGGCCTGTGCAGCTCTGCTTGCAGAAGTTAGTTGGGGTTTCTAAAATGTAAATACCGATACAGTCAGGCGGCACTTCTAATGAAGAGAGACTTTAAGGAAGACATGAGAATATGCCAGGAAGGAATTAAAAAATGCTTCCCTAATTAAAAAAAAAACATATTAAGTATTTAAAAGAATCATGTGTTTCACAGGTTAAAAGATTAGCACTTTTTATTTAGTCCTCAGGATTAAGAAAGCAGACTCGGGTATGGTGGTGTACAACCATGATCCCAGCACACAGAGGTCGGGCCAGCAAGCCTGGGAGTTCCTGCAAGATGCTCCCACGTGAAGACACAACACAACCGAACACCTGACTGTGCCACTGGGCTGAGAAAGGGAGGTTTAGATCCCCTTGCTGACTCCTGCTTGCTGTTGTTAAGAGCCAAAATTTATCTCCAAGCCCCACCTGCCCAAGGGCAAGGGAACTTCCTGAAATGCTGGTTATTATAGTTCCTGGGAAATAACAAGCCACATGTTTTTACCTCCCTAAACAAGTTTTTTTGAAGCTATTACTCTGGATATGCTTGATCACATGTAGGTGGGAGGTAAATAGGCAGGAAATATATCAGGATGCATGTTTGCCCCTTATTGGACCTGATGGGGAATGCAATGCATTATGGGTTTTACCTTTTTAAGTTGCTAAAAAATATGATTCTCACTGGGAAATGGGGTGGATCTGATGAGACCATTTTTCTGGTCAGTACTTAATTAAAACTTGCTTCAAATTTGGCTCAAAAATATGGAACTAGTTTTTCTCTCTAAAAATCTCAGGATTAACACTGTGATATTATGAATTATTTATTTGCTGTCCTTGTGTCTCAGTTTCTAAAACTGCAGAAACCTGGCATAATAGAAATATTAATATCAATGGGTAACCAGAGTTACTAGGAGAGTTAAGCACAGTATGGGCTCATTATAATAATTAGCTGCAGTGATTGCTGTTCTCTATTTCATGTATTCATTTCAGACATATACTGTGACTAGTATAAGTATGTGAAAGCCTACCCTAAAGGTACTTCAGGAACAATCCTGTCTCTTTAGCCATCTTGCTACAGTCCAAACACAACAGGAGAAAGTGATGCAGTTTAGAAGGGAGAGTACTGGGCCAATTGTCAGGAAACATTCCTGGATGTTCCATGGATTAGCTGTCTGCACTACATGTACCTGCTTGAACTGTCCATGCCTGGGGTCCAAAGACAGCCTCACACACTCGAAAGGATTGCCATAGCAAATATGAAGGGCTGAATTATTGGGATGTTTTTGTGCTCAAACTTTTAAAAGTCTAGTGAGAAGTTGGTGATTAAATCACCCAAGAGCGCCGGGCGGTGGTGGCGCACGCCTTTAATTCCAGCACTCAGGAGGCAGAGCCAGGCGGATCTCTGTGAGTTCGAGGCCAGCCTGGGCTACCAAGTGAGCTCCAGAAAAGGCGAAAAGCTACAC